ACAACAGGACTCTGCACCATGCTACACAATCAGGAAATCCCAGTCATGGCTGTCAAACAGTTTCTGCGGCCACATCATCCATTACAATGGCCACCTAACTCCCCAAACTGAAACCCCCTTTATTATTAAGTGTGGGAGGCAAACCAACAAAACTCCTTGTAACACTAAAGATGAACTAAAAGCAAGAATTATGGCAGCATTTACAAACTTAAACAAGGAGACAGTCCAGAAGAAATGGAATAGATTCCGAAGTCGTCTAAAGGCCGTGATTGAAGCCAATGGCAATTTTTTTGATTAAATTTCCTTTTTAGAATTTCAAGATATTTTTGTATATTTTTAGTAATTATATCCGTAATATATAATATATATATATATATATATGATGTCAGTGTTATTTTCATTTTTGCGTCATTAAGACGACAATTTATTCATCGCAACCTATAGTTAAAAATAAATTTCTGAAAGGTATAAAATTCATGCAAAATAATTCAGGGGTCCCATTGTACCTGCATTCGACTTATACACGAGTATATACAGTACTTTAAAACGTTAGGATAACTGATAATCTCTCCTTAAATATAAGAGCCGTCTCATCTGGGAAAAAGTAGACAGCCACTCGACCTCATGTCTGCGAGAATTTTTTGCCCGGATGTACACGTCCGGAATGCCGGACATTAAAAAAACTTGTGACACATCCTACCTTGTGGGAGTCGAGTAAATACAGAGTTCAATCCTCACAGATTTATCCACACTTTCGACTTTCTGGATCACTGAAGCTATGCTTAGTAGATCATTATTATACGATACACATGGAAAAACGTTTTATCCTATTCTGAATTCCTGTTGTTGAGAGCCACAGAAATAAGAGTACAGAACCTCCTAGACGAGTTATTAAAGTAAACAGCAAATAATTACAAACTACCACTTATAAGAAGGATAAGAAGACACAATGTATGGTTATGAGTTAGGGCGATAAATAAAAGAGAAATACGAACTGGAGGTGGGAAAATCAAGCAAGTACTGACATTTAACTATCTGTGGAATCTTTCAAAACAGACGAGGGAAAAAGTCACCCCGAAATCCAAAATTGATTTAGAATAATGAAAGATCAATTCCTAAAGTTAAACAAAGTATTAAAAACAGGAAAATCTTTTTATCAGAAACAAAGAAAAGCGTGCCAAAATGCCATGAAGTCAGAGTCCTTCTATGTGTCATCTTATACTGGCCAATATTCTCACAGATCAACTTAGTCTTTGATGTGATGTTAAACTGCATTAAATTTCGACACTAAATGGCCCATAAGATGTTGATATTTCCAACGAACCAAACCAAATCAATATGTATTAGCTTACATGCCAATAGAGGCAAATTAGTTTTCGTACATCTTTTGACTCATTTTACCCAAAGTACGGCATTAATATCACTAAGACGCCAGTGGTTACTGGGAATGAAAGTGAATGAGAATCTTTAATCATGAGAAAGGAAAATGACATAACACGATTCAAAAATACGGAAGATGGTGACTGAAGTTGCATTTAATTGTGTGTAGATCGTAAAAAGCAAGGGGACAAGAGACGGAAAGTCCAAGAAAGTAAAATATTAGAATAGAACATACACTTACATCTATCTATTTCAACAATAAAAATGAGAGACCTAACAGCCAATCAAGTACTGCTCTTAAATTGATGCGTTCAAGGTACAAAGGAGGAGAGCTCTTAGTAAGCAATTCCCATTAAAATATTAATAGAAAAGACAGTGTTGAGAGAGTAACTGAAGTCAAGATATCATGTCAAAACGATCATATTCCAGAGGCGACATTTGGAGTCTTTTTCCAGAAATGGATGATATATATTCCAAGAACAAAAAAACAACATATGAAAGCAATATTCAATGAAGAGAACGAATGGTGCAAGCTGGATTCTGGTGAGCAAGACATTCTAGCAAGACACGGTAAACAGACATTCATCGCAGTAAACCTGATTCAATATGAACATTCCACTATATGTCAGTGGGAAACGTGAAACCAAGAAGGCGGAAGAAGTTGTTCTACTCGAGGTTAGCATCAACCATGCTAAAGGAAGCAGAAAATGGTTTTCTATGATGATTAAAATATAGAGAAAAATGTTCCTCATCTTGATAGGGAAATCTGTTTCTGGACAATATGTTCAATCTTTGTAAAGTGGAACGAACGGGTACCATTTCACCACGCCTCACATACCAGCACACACACACACACACACACACACACACACACACATATATATATATATATATATATATATATATATATATATATATATATATATATATTAGGGAATTTGTATAATCAATTAAATAATTCATCGAGCCCAGAAGAATCCTCAACAAAATACAGAAAGCACTGAACTATTTTAGAAAACATCAATAGTGCACATTCATTACCCAGACAGAAGAAAAATTTTCATTGAACTTTTGAAATGTAAGCTTGAATATTAACGAATTACTTAAATGCAGCGATCAATTTGGAGTTCTTCTGTAGTTTATTGTTGCCTATCGCATCTACTCCTTACTACTTATTATGATGAATATCCAATCAAAAATCCCTTCGGAAGAGCTAGCTTAAATGCTGCCTGATAGGATGCCTATTAATATATATATATATATATATATATATATATATATATATATATATATATATATGTGTGTGTGTGTGTATGTGCATACTGAAATATCCTCCTGAAAATTTAATATGGATTACCATATTATATGATTACTATATATATATATATATATATATATATATATGTGTGTGTGTGTGTGTGTATATATATATATATATATATATATATATATATATATATATATATATATATATATATAATAATCATCTAATATGGTGATCCGTTTTGAATTTTTCAGGAGGATGTTTCAAGACACACACAGACATATATATATATATAGTATGCATATATATATATATATATATATATATATATATATATATATATATGTGTGTGTGTGTGTGTGTGTGTGTGTGTGTGTATCCTGAAACATCCTCCTGAAAAATTCAAAACGGATTACTATATATATGATTATATATATATATATATATATATATATATATATATATATATATATATATATATATATATATATATATATATATATATATATATATATATATATATATATATATATATATATATATATATATATATATATGTGTGTGTGTGTGTGTATCCTGAACATCCCCTGAAAATTCAATACGGATTACCATATTATATGATAATCCGTATTGAATTTCCAGGAGCATATAGATCCAGGGAGAGCTCTACGTCATAAGACAGGGCAAATTATTATTAATTAAAGAATATCAAACACTTATCATTCTATAAATAATTAATTTTATTTCAAGTGGGCTCTAAAAAAGAAGCTCTCAATTTTCAAAACCCGTAAAATCACGAATATAATGGAAAGAAAATATTTCGAGTTAAAATCATGAGATATTGCTATCTTATATAGAGAGTGGGAAAAGATAGAGAGTGTTGACCTAATTTGATATTCTGATTTCAGTATGTTATTTGAGGAGAGCGGAAGGCCTAAAGTATTGCTAGTTCATTCTGAACTGGCGAACAATCCCGTCTGTTTCTGTTAACCGCATTTTCATTCAAGAAAATATTAAAAGAGCACACTTTGGAAGATTCCGTCCTTACCGAAAAAACGTTCCTAATTTTTCATATAATTAACAGTCTATCTATCTATCTATCTATCTATCTATCTATATATATATATATATATATATATATATATATATATATATATATATATATATATATATATATATGTTAACTATATATGTGGCAAGAACACAATATCTTTTATAACTTTGCCTGGAGTATAGTTAATAACATAGAACTTCATTTTCCCTTACTTTAGCATTCCAGCATATACTAGAATTATGTCTATCATTTTGTTTGCAAGGCTGTAGAATTTATGACAGAAATACGACCCAATTCTCGGAAGAATTTTTACAGAAGTCTTCGGATGAAGGAAATACATTGTTTTTCAGAGTCAACTTCCTAAACGTCAAATTCTGCTCAGTTTCCAATAACTTCGTCCGTTCGTTCCATCCGTCTTTCCATCTTTGCTTCCTTTCATTCAGTCTTAAATTCATTTTGATTCGGCACCGTGAATCTTGTTCGAATGCCCACCTATTCAAAATGACGCCATTTTTTTCTGTCTACGCCAACCCGGTTTCGTAATACGTTTTTTTTTTTTTTTCTTTACGTTCACGAAACTATTTTTTGTTTAGCTTTTTTTTCGTTATTTCATATTTCTTTAGCATTGAACATTTCTTTACAGTCGTAATCCTTTTTCCCAAACCCACTCACAATGTTTTCTTTTCCTTAGATTTTTTGTATTATTTAATCTTTTTTTTTTTTTAAATTTCTTGTGGTGGAATGTTGGAGAAATCTAGTTGATCATTAACACTATATGCCAAAGTCCTTGACGATGGTTACACGGAATAATTCTTACAACTAGGGAATGAATAATTCGATAAGAAGTGGTTCTTTAGGAAGATGGAATTTGATTAGGCTGAAGGATCCGGAAAACCTGGATGCGGATAAGGGATGTTTTAGGTTGGGTGGATCGTGGTTACGTAAGGGGAGGTGAGAACAGCACTTGCATCAGGAGAATAACACGTGCCACTAAAGGGAAGGAATGGAATCAGAAAGCCTGGTTGCGTGGTGGAATTGATGAAAGGGGACTTAATAAAGTTGAGAATGGACGGGATGTGTGTAAATAAATGAGATATAGGAAGAAGAAAGAGAAAGTGAATGACGAAAGGAAGAACGCGAGCAAAAGGGAAATCGAAAAAAAAAAAAATATCTGGAAAGAAAAAAGGAAAGAAGGAAAGAATTTGAAATGAAGATAGGTAGAAATAAGATTGTGATGAAAAAGAAATATAGTTGCCATGGATTAAAATTAGAAAAAAATGTACTGCTGTCAAAAAAGAAAAAGAGCAAAGAAGGCAAAAAAAGAAAGAAAGAAAGAAAGAAAGAAAAAACAAAGTAGAAAGGAAAGGTAAAGTGACAGACTTACATTTAACAAATAACTCAGAACAGAAAATCTGAAAGACATAGCTTTAATTTTTGGCGACACACATTGCAGAAAGAAAATTACTTGCATTATTTACATTATTCGGACTGTTATCCTCATCTTCATTACCATATCCACAACGTTTCGGCTGTTGTACGCTCCGGCTTTCTTCAGATGATTAGAATTTCGAATCGAACCCTTTATTTCGTCCACCAGGGTAGGTTGTTCTAGTTTCAAGGGTCATGCCTCTTCCAAATATCTCAATTGTTTCACTTTAACTGCACGTTTTTGGTTCACCACTGCTGTGTCCTGGTATTGAACGTCAAAATTATTTGGGTCTAGTCACTGGATCAAAACGAGGCTGTGTGTTGGTTAGTTTATTTGTGACGCATTTCATCCGGTAGGTATTCATCGGATTGGGTTTGTTGGTGTTATTATCTAAAATCAACATAAAACTTGTCACAACTACATCTAAAACTATTGACCCAAGGAAATTGTTAAAGAAATAACAAAACAAATGTTGCAGATATAACATGAATTAAACATTAAGTACAACAGAACAGTATTACACGACTAGTGAGTGTGTATCGGATGCCCCAGCGTTCAATCCTTTCGACTGTTAATATTTTACAGCCCCCACCCCATCAGGATGGTGTATGTGGCGCCTCCCCGGACGAAACCCTGCCCTGCCGCAAAGCTTCATCCCGGTACCTCTCCGCCGAGGCAGAGAGTTCGGCAGCCATGAACAGTCGACTGTTAATAGTTAACAACACCCCACCACCTCTACGATGGAGTATGTGGCACAAGGACGGTTTATTGACTGTCTACCTCCCCGTACGAAACTTTCACCTACGGCAAAGCATCGTCCGGCTTCCTCTCCGTCGAGGCAGAAAGTTTGACAGCAATGAACAGTCTGGTCGACTGTTAATATTTAACAGCCACGCGCCACGAGGGTGTATGTGGCACAATGCCGGTTTATTGTGGGTTTTCCGAGCCCGTAGGCTCGCCCAAAAATATCCCCTTTGAACCCGCCTAAACGGGTTCAGGGACTGTCTACCTCCCCGGACGAAACTTTCACCTACGGCAAAGCATCGTCCGGCTTCCTCTCCGTCGAGGGAGAGAGTTCGACAGCAATGAACAGTCTGGTCGAACGTTAACCCAGTGCCTTTTCTCCTACTAATCTTATAGTAAGCGCAACAATAAAACATAGATTATTTAGAGGCAGGACACCGCAACAAAATGAATTGTCGCAAAATAATCATACATCTAGTACAACAAATTAAATCCAGTGAAAGTCAGCTATGAAATAAAAATAATAATACGGAAAGTAAGGACCTACATACATCATATTGGCTTTAAATTAAATGGTGACAGAAGAATTATCGTTGAACCTTTAAAAGGTAAGCTTAAATATTAATGCAATACTTAAATGCAGCGATCAATTTTGAGTTCTTCTGTAGTTTTTTTGTTGCCTATCGGATACGACAGCAGAATGCCTCGGAAAAAAGAAATCTCCGCCAAGAGAAGACCAGATTGCAATCAAAAGAACCAAGACTGCAACGATGAAAAGAAAGTCCCGTGCCAATAAAAAATCCAGACCAAAAGGCAGCAAAGACAGCTTCCAATGCTGAGAATACACAAAGACTTAGGGAGTCACAAAATCCTGAACAAGGAATAAATGGTAATCTTTTTAATTTTTAAAAAGATATTTCACCCCAAGCAAGTGGTTACAGGGAAGAAAGGTGGAAGAAAAGCATGGGTATAGGGGAGACCCTGGAAAGGATAAAAGCTGAACGGGCGTTTAAGTAGATAGAATTTCTTGCTAGACGTTTCATATAAATTTTTGAATACTGTAATTATCAGGGAACTAAGTACACGGAAGGGAGTTCCACTGCTTGGAAGTGCAAGAAACTATTGGGGTAGAAGTGATGATTATATTTAACTAATTCAACAGTAAAAGGCTGGGACCTAGATGCCAATCTAGTAACACGCTTGAATTTACGCGATCCGGGCAGCGGGAAAAAAAAACCCCCAGATCAGTTGCCATGAAAATATTTGTAGAAAAAACGAGGGACAGCCACGTGACATCGGTGAGAAGGTGATCTGTTTTCGTGATAAATTCAGGGTTGAAATTTTTGAATATATTTTCTGGATTTTGTCAAGAACCTCCAGATTAATAGCAGGAGCAGCAGACCAGATATGACAACTGTTGGGGCGCCCCCACCTTCTGACTAATAATGGACTTATCCCTCTACGATATAAGTCAGTGCTAGAGAGAGTAGGTGTGTTGGGTGAAGGATCAGGTTCAGCGACAGCAGTCGAGATCAGGTTACCATTACATACCGTTGAACTGTAGACTCTTGTTGATTGTTACTTACTAACCGGCGTTCCTTATTACTAATCACTCTATTGTTAATTACCTCTTACAAATATACCAGTATTTATCCCTACAACTGTGTTTGTCTTTATTCGAATACACACACGCGCGGAACACTCCCAACAACTCAACAACAACGGTATTCAATACACGGACGAACGGTAGATATTTAATGTGTTACATTGATTCTATCAAGAAAAACCTTCTATCACGGCACAGTGACCCAGCTTCTTTTCCAGTAGATTCAGCTATTGTTTCGGTGTAGCTGTTCAACTTCAAATAAGTTGAAAATGTGAGGCCAGGAAGACGAACTCTGTTGCGCTCCACGAGGTTTACACCAATCACGCTACTGGCAGGTAGGAAAGTTTCTCTTCTGGAGCGCATTTTCGTTTTGTTAAGGCATTAAATTTTATGATCGAAAGTATTGGGCTGTTACAATAAATTTGAGCGAATTAGAGACTTATTTATTATTCCTTGCGAACATTTCAACGGGGATTAAACTCGAAAATGTTGATCGTGCAATTGTATTGTCAATTCAATTCATGGAGATGGTTGATTTAAAGACATCGATATGAAAAGAGACAAGAAACGAATTTAGGAGTGCGTATTTAATGTAACCGAAATGGGTTACGTAAAAACCCTCCTCTGAGGCAGCTAAGTCAGTTTTACTTTATATACCACCATTTCATTATGAGATAGGTGGTTAGACATATATCTATAAATGCACTGAATTTCATAAATGCGATATGTATATATATATATATATATATATATATATATATATATATATATATATATATATATTTGGTTGATAGATGTGAGTTTGTGACCCTGGGTTTCACGCTTTAGCGATCGTCAGACAAACTGATTAATGTTTTAAAAAATTTGGGTTTATGTAGATTGCGTGTATTGGTGTTATTGTGGAAGTGGTGGGGGAAACTTCGTCGCTTATGTCAGCGTACTAACGAAAAACATCGATGTATGCAGACACATATACATACTACTTGGTCGTCCGTCGGACTCATACATATATAAACATATGTGGGCAGTTTCGGATATGACATATGTATGTATACGGGTGGTGTTGTGTCTATACATACGCATTTGTATGTTGAAATTTAAAGATTGGAAGTGTGGCGGAAATGTCTCGTGAATGTCTCGTGAATGTATACATGTCATCATATTATTATTATTTTTTTTTTTTTTCCGTATATATATATATATATATATATTATATATATATATATATATATATATATATATATATATATATATATATATATATATAAATGAACCTATGGATTTTTTATTATATATGTATCTGGAGTTAAATGTATGTTTATATTTTAAACACGGTCAGCACATTGTGGTTGGGTTCATAGCAGATGTTCGGAATGTTAGGCTTTTGTTGTTTTTTTTTTTATTAATGATGTCTCCATTATTTTTAGACTATTTTAACATG